TATATCAAATGCTTCACAATGACGCCGACTGTTTGAAAATTGAAGCTTACAATCGCTTTAGAGTTGAATTTTTACGAAGTAGTTGAAGTTACCACACTGTTGAGAAAGGATTTCTCAACTAATAATTAATTTCTCGGGAAGATAATCTCTTATATTGAAAATATGAGAGAAGGAATTATCTTATCTGGAATTATGTTTGCTTTTGTGAGAAGGTTAAAATTGATAGAGAATTAAATAATTTTTTAATTGTTTTTAGATTCCGCAATACAATTTCCTTATTTTTGTATAATTTTTATAATTAGAATTTGTAAAATGAATGTTCATTAATTTTTTATGAATTATTTTTCATAAATCATATATTAATTATATTTTGAAAATTTGAATAAAATGAAAATTTTAATAAAATGGATAAAGTTAATTGGAAAGTAGTGTAATTTTTTTTTTTTTAATAATTATTTTTTATTAAAAAATATTTTCTGTTGTTTTAAAAATGAGAATAAACAATAAAATGAGAACAAATAATAAAACTAAGCTCCTTAATTATAATATACGTTATTAAAATATCATTTTTGTTGATTTTTCGAAATGAGAGGAGATGAGAGAAAACTTTGTTCTTCAGCAAAGTTTACCTTAACTAAATTCTCTCATTCGAGACATCATTATCGAGATACTTAAATCGTCGAGATTTAAGAAGAATTGTGTCAACAGATCCTAACTGAATCACAAAAGTCACTAATTCAAGAATTCAGCTCATGTGCCGCAATTAATTTGGCGTACTACCAGACATTTTCGGTATCAATTAACGAAAAAAAAGGAGCACTCGTCCATCATCGCGCGAGCGTTCGTTCTGCGGCAATCGTTTTTCTTCCGTCTACCGGACACCGGGAGAGTGCGCGTTTTTCTCGGCGCGTCCTTCGCGTTCTGAAATTGAAAAATTAAGCGAAAAACTCTCGCGGCCCCGAACAAATGGCGGCTCTTCGGGACTTATGACGGCGGGCGTCCCGGCCGGCGCGGCGCGGACACGGGCGGCGAAGGAGGAATTCAAGGCGCATTATCCTTGACCGCGTGCTGCGAGATAAACGAGCTAGGTGTACCGGGCGGGATGAGGCGAAATGGCGGGTGTCGGAGATTGCGGGAAGAAATTCGGCAAGAAAGTTCGCCTTCCTCCCATCAGCATCGGCTCCGCCGCCCGGTCGGGCGACGAGTTTATGCGCTTTAATGCGGGTAACGGTCCCGAGCGATCGACGGATCGATCGATCGATCGATCGATCGAGCGAGCGATTGATCGTGTGCAGGGGATCGCTCTATAAAATAAGCGACTCCTGTATCCGCTTCTACAACGGCGGTTGCCCGACCGACCGATAAACGCGAGAGAAGAAGTCAAGGCGACATTCTGCAGTTGTTCGATCGTGCGCGAGCGAGACGGCAGTGGTGGCAGCGGCGATCGATCGCGTGCAAAAACTGCTTTATTGGCCGGAAAGAAAGGACGCGAGCGGGCGCCAATAAAGTAATTTACTCTGTGAAATCGCCAACGAGGTTTATAGGTCGGACATCGATTCCCGGCGCTCTGCGATTTACCGGTAATGGTATCTCTCGGCGAGGTGTTCCTCGATCAGTTGCTTCCTGTCACACTTTACTCTCGTTCGCATTTAGAACAACGATTCGGTAAACCCTCAAGCGCAAAGTAGTACCGGGGGTTTCAACGAAGTTCAGCCACGATAGCGCTAGAACTTTCCGGTCATCGTCTTTTTGCTTTGCCGACGAGAGTTTAGTAGCGTTGCACGCCATGTGAATAATTACGCGAGAGTGGCGCATTTGCGAATGGCGGCACGGGCACTCGAGGGATGCCGCGGGTGCGTGTATGAATATTCAGATGTCCGCATAAATGAACACTAGGCGCCGCGTAATTAGGTCGTCAATCGCCGCGACGCACAGAAGGAAGTCTCTGCGGGTCGTTCAACGTGCGACTGGCCCATATGGTGCATTAAAGCGACCGCGTCCACGCTCCGGGCTGAGCTCATAAACGCCGCAATATCGTCAGTCAACGCTTTCCTCATGAACGTCCGTGGGAGCGAGCGAGCGAGAGAGAGAGAGAGAGAGCGTGCGCGGGAAGTGCAGTTTGCCCTGGAACACGAGAGCTCCTCCCTAAAAGCATACACAAAAAGACAGAAATATGAGGTACTATCAAAGTGTGCACACACGATGGTTACATATGGAAATAATTATACTAGAAACTTTGCGGAGAGATTATTTTAATAAAAATATAACGAAAAATACGGCGAGAAGTAACTTGCCGAGCACTTTCTTGGAAATAAATTTCTTATCGACGGGACTTTTACTATTGGACTCCGTGTGCCAAGTAAAAATGGTGTTTCTATTATTATGTGCCTCTCTAGCGAAATGTCGGGATCTCTGAAAGAAAATGGGAGTGGGGGGGGGGGACTGTAAGGAGAAGAACTGTGAGCAAGTGAACATGGATAAAGGCGATAAAAAACGTAGAAAAGGGAACGTTGAGAGAGCGAAGGTTGAAAATCGCTTGCACCCTCTTGCGTATCCCATCCCTTCCCGTCTCCTCGCCTTTATTGACAGCGCTCTCCGAGAAGGAAATCTGATGTGGAAAATGGAAATAGGCGCCGATATCGTCGCCTTCGGGCGATAATCGAACACGCTGCACCGAGCGGGTTGTAATCGACAATCGGCTCATCGATCAGCGTTCTCTTTTTTTTTTTTTAACACAAGAGAACAAATAAATTGCCTTTCTGTCGGCACGCGCGATCATTTTTCTCTCTTTAATTTATCGAACGTTTCTCAGCTCGCCGCGTTCGCGTTATATAGGCTGTTTTGACTTGTTCATTAAACGCAGCTGCTACCGAATTCTTCATACGTCGAAAAAAATATGAGACACAAAAATTGAGCAAAAACAGTGAGAAAAAAAGTAAAATATTTATTAAGATTTATCTGGCGAAAGAAATGAAATGAGATAAGCTACGGATAAGTAGATTAATATATAATAATAATTAATCTAACGTGTATTCTGTGCAATATTTCTTGAATAATATGCCCTGCGTTGTTATAAAATGTTCCTACCAATCATTGCAAATCGAAAAAAACGGTAATGATAATTACGATAGCACTGGAAGATAAACATAAGATTTCGCGTCTGGGCGATTATTTGCATTTATATGATCAATTTATGATCTCTCTTCAGTGGTAGATATTCCTGTGGATAAAATCGTGCGTGTTACAATTACTCTTGGCCGGCCGGCACTTTCTCTTTCTACTTGGTGCCGCGTATCTCTCGTTGCCACCGAGTTACCAGTATACAAAATCAAATACAATTTATTTATTAAACCAAATGTATTTATTTATGTACGAATAATATGTCTGTAGAAATATTTTGCGCTGCTGTTACCATGACCATTCATCGGTTTCTGCAGCTGTCATTGCTCTTGCGTTAGTTCTCTATTGTGTCATTTCACATGCATGTCCAATCCACGCCGACACTAAGACTCCCCTATCTTCTTGGTTTCAGGTGAGTTACGAGCTGTTCCGGGATTATGGCCGACGCGTTGACTTAGAATTATACCGACGTAGTTGGTGAGTAAGTAAGCGATAGATAACATCGAGATTTATAGTCCGGGAGTCGAGCGGCCGAGAGCCTTTATCGGTGCAACGATTCTATCGCGCCGCAGAGACGATCCGTTCGGCAGAATTTCGAAACGGCAGAGCTGAAAGCCGCGCGCGTCCTCCTCTCCCTGTAAGCCTGTAAAGCCGCGCGAAATTCCCCTTATCCGCCATACGATCCGCCTGCTAAAAGTATTCATGACCGCCCGCGACAACCTGCGGCGAGGAATGCCGGCATTCGCGTTTCGCAACAGTCAGACCTGAGCCAAATACGTCAATCAACCCGTGTATTTTTTCGCGAATGTCCGTTGAATTACGAGCGAATACCACGGCACTCGACGAGGGCCCGCGGCGAAATACGGTTACCGAGATTCTTTCCCATCCATATGTTACGCCGGCAGATTACACGGTTGGCGGTTTGCGAATTGATAGTTGCGTCAACCGGGGGAATCGTTGACGAGTCGTTGGAAACAATCAATTTCTTCTGGGCACCATATGGGTTTCGGTGAACAAGAGTATCACGAGAGTTTCACGAGAGAGAGAGAGAGAGAGAGAGAGAGAGAGAAATACGCGATGTTGGCTCATTCTCGGCTACTTATTGTTAAGAGGCTCGGCTTAATCTCGACAAATTAATGGTATTATAAACGATACTGGAGAGGCATGTCAAACATGATAAATGATACTGAAGACGAATCTCAGCTTCATTTCGTATTATTCGCCGAGATACGAATAAGAAGTGAGAGTAAAAAATTAAGAGAGATCGGAGAAATACAATTTTAATTTCGCTAAATTAAAACCTTTGATTAAAAGTGTCGACTTTTTCTCACGCGAAAATCGAGGATCGATTTTAAATTGAAAGAATGTGTCATTAAAAAAATGTGTTAAAATTAGGATACACGTATTATATTGTATTGTGTACGTCGTATCAGTATATTCTTATACGGGAAAGGAAGAAAGAGATACGAGCTGCGTGCATCTGCGCGCTTATTACACGTGTCACAAGAAGCGAGACACTATATCGGCGGAATGGACGGCGACGAGGGCAAACAGCGGGTCGTACGCTCGTCTTTTTCTCGCATTTATTCCTAATACTTCACGTCTTTCGTCTTGCCGCGGACCCACCGTCATTATCGTCGTCGTGCAACATCCACGCAGGAAAGAGAAAGGAAACGGGTGCGCGCCGGGAATCGCGGCGGCAACGAGCGCTTAAATCTACAAGGCTGATTATCGCACTTCACAATGTTGCGTGTCCGCGTACATATGTGACGATTTCCGCCGCGGAAGAGGCCGGATCCGCCGTATCCGTAGCATTTTCGCAGAGGAAGTGGCTCGAAACCTCAGCTGTGATTATACAAAGTGATTTCTAACTGCGAAACATTACGGACAATATCCTCTCTTGAGTCTGAGATGAAAATTCTTGCGGAAGAATGTCGAGGAAAGATATGATTTACTACTCTCTCTCTCTCTATCTCTCTTTCTCTCTCACGGTAATTTTCTTATTTTTGATATTAAATATCTTGACTGTGCGTGAGATTAAAATTGTTAAAGTATATAACGTTCATGTTAAATTAAGTGAAAAATGGAGTTTTAATTGTCCTTAATTTAAAAGCTATCGATATCTCGATATTTCTTCCAAGAACTTTTGTTTTAGACTTAAATAAGGAATTTATACTCTTAACGTAAGTCAATTACGTTTAACTAATTGCGAATCTTTCGCTGTAATATAATTTACTTACGATAAACCGTCTGTTAATTTTCAATAATAAAGCCTCGTAATTTTTCTGTAATAAAGATAGGCATCGAGGATTTATTAATTAAATGTCCATTAATGTAATTAAATTTAGTCGTGATAATGTTTGGAACCATTGTTGAAGCCTGTTAAACCCTTCGATATACGCCTGTGGCAGGCTCGATTCCGATTAATAATTGATTTTGAACTGAATCACTACGTTAGTAACATACTGATAATTACCAATTAAAGCATCCTTTAAACGGGGCGAATTCGACATAAATTGGTAACTCGATACGCACGGCCGTGATTAACCACATCGCAATGCTTCGGCATGACTTAATTAGAACGCGCGTCCGCATCGCGCACAGTGCGTATTTGATATTTGACGCGGGGTTATACGCCGCGCGAGCGATCGCGACTATCGTTACGTTGCGCGAGCGCAAAATGTTGGGGCTGGCTCGCGGATAGCGAGAGCACGGTAATTACTAAATCTGTGTTAATTAATTTCGCGACGATCGAAAAGCCGGCAGGTGGGAAAATTAATCATTTTCTCTCTCGCGCGCGCGGCGCTCCGGTATAACTTTTAAACAGCCGCGTTCTAACGGGGCATTCGCATCGCGAAAGTAAAACGACAGTTATCTCATCGATCGATTCATCGCCACTGATTTTTAATCAAAGTAAGAATAGCAATGAATCGTTTGAATATATCGAAATAAATTCGACGCCGCATTCTCCAATATCAATTCCACGAATAAATCTTCATTTATTAAATTTGAGTTGTTTTTAAATAACTTTTTTTAATCAAATAAATATTTTTAATATTAAAAAAAATTTTTTTGCTTGCTTCGATTTCTCACTGTTGGAATATTGAAAATTACAAATTGAAAGGTCACGACGAATGATGCGATTTAATAATATTCTTACAGAGAGAAAATTACTTGTGAATGTTTATTGGAAAACTATCGATGGTTCGAAATACTCGACACACTTAGCCATTACGCCGTTATGAGCAAAAGGAGTCAGATTGCATTGCTAATTAATTACGTACGCAGGCGCTCGTGAGAAGTAGGCTCTGCCTATGAAAGTCGAGAGGCGGAAGAAGAGAGGCAAAATGGATGGAGAGAGAGAGAGAGAGAAAGAGAAGAGTGGAGGAGGAAAAAGTAATAATATTGCTCGATCCTGGCCTGGTCCACTTTGCGGTGGATATAATAGTTATTGTACGACGACAGGTAAGATGGATTAGCGCGCGAGAAGCCAGCAGGAAGTCCGCGATCTTCTCCGTTCCAATTTAACTGTTCCGAGCGCGCGCGAACACCGTTTACACATAATAATTACAACGATTTCTACGAGCGAGCGAGCGAGCTACGGGCATCCTTGCTCTAGCTCTGACTAGTTGCACCTGTTTCCATTTGCCTCGTTCATCATCGATTACAGTACATCGGATGCATTACGTGATGGTTATTATTATTACAATTGCCTCCGCTACTATACGAATATTTCTCATCACAGTGATTATCGTTATTACGCTATTATTATATCGTTAATCTCGTTATTGCGGCGAGTACCTTGGTGAGAGTGAACTGTAATCTTTGCACAACTGGATTCTACGAGAGAAAAATATGATTATGTATATACGTATACATATTTTTGCGAATGATTTCACTTGGACGTAACAAAGTTATGTGTACGCGGATTTACGACTCTCGGATGATTCGTCTCGGCATCCTAGGCAAACGCATAGCCGTATATACGCATCGCTAATTCAACACCGGCTCGTATTCGGTCTCCGGCGTGTGATCGATGAAGCGCAAGTGCACGTTAGGCGGTTATACAGGCGGCCGATTGAACGGCCGTCGTAATTGCCGAGATGACCGCGATAGCTCGTTCGCGAGTCGTTACGTCGAGCGGGCGTTATGAATACCGCGAGCCATTGTAAATATTCCCGCTCTTTGCGCGCGCTTCTCACCCGGTCGGCAGCGTGATTTGTAACGCTTATCGCGCGTATCGTAAGGTGAAACGCGCCGCGTGCCATTTGCGAAAAGCCTTTTCGCTATTTGCGACGCCTTACAGCGTCGTATAAATACCGGAGATCCGCAAATTTGTTTTTACAACCATAATCGATAATCGTGATTAGGATGGTCTTTCATCGACTGTTTTGACAATAGATATTTATTACTTTCCTTAAAATAATTTTCATTTGTAGATTTTTTAAATGAATGTGTCGACTAAAATAGTCGTAAATGTATCTTAATGACCTAATTATTTGTTTTAATTTCAATTTGAATAGATGATATTTATATAAGCTAAAGTTATATAGGTACATTTTTAGCGTTGATTAATATAATTTAATGCTATCTATTTTAGTCTCGTGTTATTTTGAGTTCGAAGATGGAATCAGAGTAACCTTAATTTTATGATATGTTTGCGGCGTGACTGTTTAAAATTAAATTATTGTACATATTTTATAGAAGAGTCATATGTATCAGTCTTTAATTCCAATCTAATTTCAATCTCGTTCTTTTTTTAAACTGCAGCTAATTAAAAAGGTCAAATTAATCTCGACAATCAGTTTACAATAGTTACATTCGCACAAGTAGAACAATCAGTCTGGGTCCAGTTATCGATGTCGCGGCGCCGATGCGTCTCTCCGTAAAGGGTGCTTCGTGACACTTTGAGGAATCGCGTCTCCCACGGGCGTGCTCTCCGAGTTAACCCGCTTTTCGAAGTTAATAGGTCTCCGTTTATACTCTTTATTTTTCGACCGGCCCGGTCTTTTCCACGGCAACCCAGCTGCCGTCCCCCTCGCTCGGTCCAAGAAAAGTTTTCTCTCCTCCCTTCCTCCCTCCCGAAGAAGGGGTCTCTATGATTTTCTACATTTCCGCGCGGGAGCTCTTTCATTAAACAGCGAGCACGGCCAGGCGGAAAATCGCCCGACGGCACAATGGTCGGGAATTCTACGGCGATTGGAGAAAAATCCGATCCGTATAGCCTCCCGCCCTCCCCCTCCCCCACTTCTCCCCGGCGTTCAAAGCGCATTGTTGTTCTCCTGTTTGGCTGAAAAGGCGCGTCCCCTTTTGTGCGCCTTATGAAGCGACACTATCAAATTGTTACCCAATAGCAACGACTAACGACGACGCGAAATTATCGTAACTATTGATCGCCTTTTTCACTCTTTGCAACAACATTACTCCCGATAATGTTCGACATACAAATTGCTGAGGACTGCGCTGCACGGAATCTT